AAAATTTAAAAAGGTAAAAAAAAATGTAAAAAAAAAAAAATTTAAAAAAAAAAAAAAAAAAAAAAAAAAAAAAAAAAAAAAATACAAACTTCAAAAATTTTAGAGATATTAAAATGTTAAAAAAAAGAATAAGATATAGATAAATTTATACTTTTTATAGCAAATAATAATAAAAAGTATAGGATAAATTCGTATGAATAAAAATATAAAAATTTAATAAAAGGAAAGTAAATTTTTTCTATTTAAGTGTAAAAGAAACTTCAAATAACAATATGCTATTAAAGCAAAAATACAAGTTATCAAAATTTACAATATACACTTTAAATATAAATAATCAGAAATATTAAAAAAAGGAAAAATAACATTTTAAATAAAATGATTTTTTTTTAAAATAAGAATATACTAAAAAAATTTTATATGACTATGCATCTCAAAAAAAAAAAAAAAAAAAAAAAAAATTAAAATTTTTTAAAAATAATACAACTTAAAAGGCTTGTTTGTTTTTTACAAGGTAAAAAATTTTCTTATACTTTTTTTGAAAAGATATTTTTGTAAATTTGCAAATATATGACTATGTAAAATTAAAATTTTTTGCTTTATTCTCTTTTAAAAAAAATTATACTAATAACTTATATTTTTCCAAGGAAAAAGAAGAAAAAAAAATATATTATTGCAAATTATATGATCATAAATTTTTATATATGTGTGTTATAAAATGAATAATAAATATAATGTAATAATTTACAAGAAAAGAAAAACACACTGTAGATTGGATGTTTTACTCTTCTTGTTTTATGCTTTTTATCTAAATTTTATTTTACAAAACAAAAAATTTGAAGCACAACTTTCAGATTATGAATATATAGAAAGATTAAAATTAGAAAAAATTGAAGAAGAAAATATTTTTAAGTTTAATAATTCTAACATATCTTCTGACAAATTAATATATGAAGAAAATGGAGAAGAAATCACGGAAAATTTGGATGGAATAAAGATACAAATGGATAACTTAGAAAGAGAACATGAAAATACGAATTATAAAATCGTAAATAATGAACAAAATATATATATTGATAATAATAAAAATGATAAAGAAAAAATATTAAAAGATAAAGAAGAAGAAGAAACTCAATTAAAACCTATAATATTAGGAAAATATAATTTGATATATATTTTTTATAGTATAGAATTTTTATGTTTACTATTATTTATATTTTTTCATTTGATGATTTTTCTTTTATCTCAATGGAATTTAAATGTTTATTTATTTATTGCTTTTAAGAATTTAAATAGTAATGATAAAAATAAGTATATATATAATTTAGAGAAATTGTGTACTCATGTATATATTAAACCACTAATGAAAACAGATGAAAAGATAGGAATAAATAGTAAGGAAAGATTTAACACTGATTATAATTTTTATAAACCAAAAGCGGAATTAGTAGAACTAAAAAAACTGAATAATGATATTTTTTTTTTTTATAAACAAAAAAAATATTTATTTGATTATAAATTAGTGAAATTTGAATCACTTAAACATTTTGATATTTTTAATGTGTCATTTTATTTAAAATGGAAAGGATTAATTGAATGTGAACAAAATTTATATGATGATTTATATATAAGTAATATTACGGAAGATATAAAAAGAAGCATAAAAAGTGAAAATTTAAATGATCTATTTAATAAAATAGATATTTTATACTCAGATAAAGCTAGAAGAAAAGACATAAAATCAAATAAAACTAAAACGAAATTAGTTGATTCGGATAATATTTTAAAAGAAGAAGAAAATAAAAGAAGTAATCTCATAAATGATAAGAATAAAAATGAAGAAAATAATTCTAATGAAGTAAATAAAAGTAAGAAAGTACATATAATGGAAAGTCAGGGAAAAATGAATGAAAACTTTTATTATAATAAAAGTTATTTTCAAATACCTCATGATTTATATGTAAATAATAATTTAAATAAATATGGAGAAAATATATATGACATTCCATCTCCATGTTTTAAAAAATTATTATATGAAGCTATGTTATCTCCTTTCTTTATTTTTCAATTTTTTAGTATTATACTATGGATGCTTGATAGCTACTGGTATTTCGGGATTTTTTCAATTTTTATTTTAATAGTTCTAGAAGCACAATTAATTAACAAAAGAATAAGAGAATTTAACCTTATAAATAGTATGAAAGTACCTGCACAAAATGTATATGTATATAGAAATATGCAATGGAAAATTATAAAATCAAATATGTTACTACCTGGAGATATATATATTTTGGCGAATGAATTAAATGGTAATGATAATATATGCACATGCGAAACATTACTAATTGAAGGAATTTGTATAACTGATGAGTCAATTCTTACAGGGGAATCAATTCCACTAATTAAAGCAGCTATAGATAAAAATACAGAAGAAAAAAATGACATTAATTTTGAAAAATCTATTTTTTTAGATAAAATAGATATTAAAAATAAACATAAAAAAAATATTGTTTATGCAGGGACAAATGTATTATTAACAAAAAATGATAAAAATGAATTTAATAATAAAAAGTTACCTATTAGCGGATGTGTAGGAATTGTATTAAAAAATGGATTTACTACATATCAAGGAAAATTAGTTAGAACAATTATTAATACTTCAGAAAAAGTTAATTCTTCTGGTATTGATTCAATTGTATTTCTTCTTATATTATTATTATTTTCTATATCATCTAGTGCATATGTGGTATATAGTGTTTTACAATCTAATCATGAAAGGAATTTATATAAACTAGTTTTGTCTGTTTCTCATATAATTACGGCTGTCATACCTCCTGAATTTCCAATAACTTTATCATTAGCAGTAACCATATCTATTGTGTATTTGTATAACTTAAAAATATATTGTACAGAACCATTCAGACTCCCTTTTTCAGGGAAATCAAAAATATGTGCCTTCGATAAAACAGGAACATTAACGGAAGATAATATGATTGTTTTAGGTTTATTTGGATTAGATAATAATTTTACAAAAATAAATGAATTAAAAGAGTCTATTGTTAACAAACAGAGAATTCCTTTTTTGTCCTTATCTGTTATAGCAGGATGCCATTCTATATGTACAGTTAATAACAAATTATTAGGAGATCCATTAGAAAAAAATTCTTTTTTAAAACTTAAATGCAATATGAAAAGTTTAGATAACACTTTTGTGTATACAGATAATAGAAAATCGGCTAACGAAATAAATAAAAAATCAGGTAATTCTTCTTCAAAAAACAATTATGTAGAAAATTTTCAAATTTATAAGAGATTTTTTTTTTCTTCCGAATTGCAAAGAATGACTTGTATAACGTTTCATGAGGGATATGAAAATGACTGGTTTGGTGAAGAGTATGAAGAAGAATCTACCAATAATAATAAAGAAAATAAAGATAAAACTATTAATGAAAACATGGAAATTCTAGATAATTTAAAAAAAAATAAAAATAATAATAACAATCAATTCACAAGACAATATTTAGTAGTAAGTAAAGGATCACCAGAAATTATGAAAAAGTTTTTAAAAAAAATTCCTGCAAATTACGATCAAATTTTAGACAGCTTATCGATTAAAGGGTATCGTGTTTTATGCCTAGCTGCAAATGTATTAGATAATGGAATAATATCTAAAAATATAAAAAGAGAAGAAATAGAAAAAGATTTATACTTTTGTGGATTTTTAGCATTTATATGCCCAATTAAAAAATTAACACCTAACTACATTCTTGATATAAAAAGAGCAGGGATCAAAAATATTATGATTACAGGTGATAATGCTTTGACAGCATGTCAAGTTTCTTTAGATGTTAATATAATTCCACCTGTAAAAATTAAAGATATTTTAATTTTAAAATTAAAAGAGAATTATTTGACTGATAAGAGAGTTCTAAATGAAAATTCCAAAGATTTAAATCAAGATGAGAAAAATTATGCAATTGAAGAAGAGAAAGGAAATAAGAATGAAATAAATAAAAAAGAGGAACATAAAAGCATAAATGAAAATACATCAAATCAAACTTTTACAAATAAGGAGAAGGAAGAAGCGATAGTGATACTAAATAATATTAGCAAAAGAAACATAAATTTAAAGATTTATGTAGAAAAATTAATTAGAATAATTGAAAACAATAAAAATATAAATAATATATTGTATTTTGTTAATAGAGAAAATAAAAAAGTTTTACCTTTTATTGATAGTGAAGAATATATAAAGTTGTGTGGGAAACTTTTTTCTATGTGTATAACAGGGGATATAATTGAATATTTTCTTCAAAATATTCAGAAGCATTTTACATTATTTGATGAACTCATAAAAAGAGTTCACGTATTTTGCAGAGTATCTCCGAAAAATAAGGAAATTATTATAAAAACTTTAAATAAGTTAGGTAATATAACGATAATGTGTGGAGATGGTACTAATGATATGGCAGCATTAAAGGCTGCACATGTAGGTATTTCATTATTAAGTATAAAAATAAGTTATAAAAATAATAATTTAAGTAACAACTTAAAAAATAATGAAAGTTATTTGAACAATAATCGAGATTATAATAATTCGCTTAAAACTTATGAAAATCATTTAAAAAATGCGTATGATAACTTAGAAATAAAGAATAGAAGTAATGTTATGCATAATAATATGAATTATAGGTATTATGAACAAATGAAGTTATATAACGAAAGGAAAAAAAAAATAGAAAGTATGATGCAGTCTATGGATGATTCATTGCCATTAATAAAATTAGGAGAAGCAAGTATAGCGTCACCTTTTACTTATAAAGGAAATGACATAAAATGTGTTAAAGAAATTATATGTTGTGGTAGATGTGCTTTATCAAAGGTTATAATGATGTATAAATTAATGATTATAAATTCTTTGATTACAGCCTTTTCGGTTTCTATTTTAACATTAGATGGTGTAAAATTAAGTGATGCACAAACAACAATTATTTCATTATTATATACTACATTAATTGTTTTAATATCAAAATCTACTCCTTTAAAAACTATATCTAATTATTCTCCTCCTACTTCTTTATTTAATATTAGTGTTATAGCTTCTTTAATTTTTCAAGTATTTGTTCATTTTTCTATTTTAGTTTATGGCTGGAAGCTATCTTCTTCATATAGACAACCTGATTATGTGCCTGATTTGAAAGGAGAATTTACACCCAATTTAGTAAATACATGCATTTATTATCTGATATATTGTATCAATTTATCTATTTTTTCATGTAATTATGAAGGTTTGCCTTTTATGACTCCTATTCATAAAAATAAAGAAATTGTTTATATATTTATTGTTAATTTTATCTTTTTATTTTCTCTTGTAATGAATATTTTTCCATTTTTAAATTATTTTTTTTCTCTCGTTTCTTTTCCAAATATAAAATTAAAATTTCTATTTTTATTTTTAATGATCTTGGATATTGTTATACCTTATTTAATTTCTAATTTTATTAGATATTTTAGGCTATATTTTTTTCAAAAATTTAAAATTCATTTATAGTATATGAATAAGTTTTTATATGATTTTATTACATAATTAAATTAACTTTATATCTATAAAACATGTTTTATTATATAATAAAATGATTTTTTTTCTCTTTGTTTTTTATAATTACATATGTGTTTATATGCATTCATTTTTCTTTTTTTTAATAAATATTTTATATATATTTCTTTTTATTTTTACAATTATATGTTGCTTTATTCATATAAATTAAAAGGCACTTATAATAAGAAATGGAACCTTTTATGAAAAATTATGAAAATATAATGATAGTTAAAATAAGACAATAAATATAATAGTAGTTTATATTACTATAAAAAATTTAAGAAAAAATCAAGTATAATATTTTAAATTTTATAAAATTTTAATATTAAATAAGTTAATATTTATTTGCACACAAATATTTATTATTATCATCATTACACTAATTTTCTTTTATTTTTTTGATTTTTTTTTTTTTTTTTTTTATTACTATATTTAAGATTAATATATATGCATATATATTTATTCAAAACCAGAACTTTTTTACATTAAGTATAATAAAAAATACAATGCTATAACATTTTCTTTGTAACCAGATTATATTTTTGTAACTTATTATTATTCATACATCACAAAAAAAAAAAAAAAAAAAATAGCTAATAGAAAAGTTTCATAATAACTTAAATTTTCTATATATAGCTAAAATATATAAAAAATATTTATATTTTTTCTTATTTGTTCATAATTTCATATACAGTATGTTGTTGATTAAAAGGAATAAACTTTTTTTTTGTTAGGTTTATATATATTAAATGATATCAAAATTATATTAATGCTTATATTAGAATACTTATTTTATGTTATAGAAAATTTAAGTTTCTCATTTGACTTTTAAAGCTTTATTTAACATGATAAAATTTTTCTTTATTAATAAATATAAATAGTAAATCAAATTATAAAAACAATAATAATACAATTGAACAAATATATATATATTCAGAAAAATAGTATATTCATAAGATTTTTCATCTTTAGTTAACATATGAAAATAAAAATAATTTTTAGAAGGACGACAGTAAAAATAATGAAAATTGTTCAAAAATATTTTATATTTTCAATGTAATATAAAAAAAAACTTAATTTTTTATTTTACAGAATTATTTGTCATCATATATATTAATCTATATTATTGCCATTGTTTTCTATTTAATTTTTACGTTTTCATTTCATTAATAGAGAAATAGAGTATTATTAAAATGAAGTATTTATTCTTATATATCTTCTTAGATAAATCAAATTTTAAGTTAGTAAAATACTTTTTTATTTAATACTTTAAGGGAAACCTAAAACGGTATAAAATATAAAAAGAAATAAAATGAAATTTACACTTCATATATTTCTGTAATTTGACCTCTTTTAAAAAGCATATTAAAGTTTTTTTAATATTCTTTAAAAAATCGTTGATAGAAAAAATAATTTTCTTATTTTAATAGTGGTGCATAATCATATTTATTAAAAAAAAAAAAATAAAAATTTTCTTCAAAATTATAAAGCATAAATTTTATAACATGGAAGTTACAACATTAATTCATTTTAGTATAATAATGAATCATTTTTGTTAACATTTCTTTTTTCTTTATTATCTTTTCCTTTTTTTTCGTTTTTCATGTTTTTTATAGTATTTCTTATTTTACATTTTTTAATATGAGACATAAACTTTTTAAATTTTTAAATGATTATATAAATTAAGAAGAAAAAAAATTATTTTTTTTTCTAGCATTTTTCTTAAGTATACAAAGATATACTTAGATATTCAAGATGAATTGCTTTTTTCGCAAAAAATTTACTATATTTTACAGCAATTGTATTAAATTATTTTTTTTTTCATTTTTAATACCAATGAAATAATGTAAAAGAACCATATTATAATTATTATAAAAAAAAAAAAAAATTATAAATATATTCATTTAATTTTTAATTAATTTTTTTATATATTAACAAACTATATTTATATTGTAAAAAAAGAAAAAAAAGAAAAAAAACATATTTAAAAAAAACATATGATTACAAATAATTTAAAAAGAAAAAATATTTTTATTAAATAATGATTATATGAAGAATGTAATAAAGAAAGAGACGATATATATATGCATACACAGTAACGTAATATGAAAATGATTTAGAACGACATGATTAGTGATTAACTAAAAATGAAAGAATTATCATTAGAAAACGAACTAGAAGTTTTTTATGAGTACATTACATCTATAGAACATTTGTTAATAAATTTCAGTAATTATATTAAACGAAGAAAGACAATTAAAAAAATTATAGAAAAAAATGAATTATTAAATAATTTTGTTCTGAAATATATAAATAAAAACGTACCTACTAAATTATCCCTTCATATGAAATGTGTGAAAAATAAAAAATTTTATGAGTATCTTTTTTTATGTTCTTTTTATCATATAATTATAAATTATATAATATATGACCCACTATTTAATCTACAAAGAAAGTTGGAATATAAAAATGAAGAAAATAACACAATGAACAATATAAAAAATGAAAATGATAGAAATTTTGAAAAGTATCAATCGGACAATAAAAAAACTAGAGTAGAAAAAGAAAGTAATGCTAAAAATGAAACTTATTTGATAAATATGAAAAATAATAATGAATCTGATTTATCATACAATATGCATATAGTTTTTGATATATTAAAAAGAAAAGAAAAAGAAGAATTTTCAAGTAAGATATTTGATATGATAGAAAAGCAAAATATAAAATTTCAAAAATTAAATGATGAGTATTTTATTCTAAGTTCTACCTATGAACAAATTTGTGATATCATCTTCTCATTTGGGATATTATGTTATATATATGGTTTTTATAAATTTTTTAAGATAGAAAGCGTTAAAATTAGAAAAAATAAAAATTGTACATATAATTTATTTAGCTGGATTTATGATATAAAATTTAATGTTTTACAAAGTGTAAAGTTAAATTCAATTAATGAAAATAGTAATCTTAAAGAAAATGAAAGTGATAAAATTTATGTATGTGAAAAGTTTTTTCAAGAATTTACAAGAGAAATAAAAAACATTAATAAGGATGAAAAAGAGAGCTCAAATACAAATGTAAATTGTAAAAATACTAGCAATAATAACATAAATAATAATAATAATAATAATTATAGTAATAATAAAACATATAAAGAAAATTTTTACTGTAAAATGAATGATAGTAGAAAGAATCATGTATCATCAATTAATAACTCATATAAAAATAATTTAAATAATATTAATGATTTAAATTATATGAATTATTCAAGTAATCCATGTAATAACAATTATTTAAATAAAGAAATTATTATAGATACTAATTCTAATATGAGTAATACTTATAAGGAAAAAAATAAAATAAATAACTCATATGAAGATATGAAACATTTTTATTGCTCAAAGAATTTAAATTTTTCACCAAAGGAAAAGAAAAAAAAAGAATTTTGTCATGAAGAAAAAGATGAGAAAGATAAATATAAAAATAAAAATTTACATATTAACAATGAAAAATATGATAACTACTTGAATACTTATAATATTAGTAAGAATGATAGTTTGGTTAAAGGTGGAAATATGTATATAGATTTTGAATTTTATAGTTATATGATTTTAAAAAGAAAAGAAATTGAAGAAATATTTTTATCATATGAAGAACAAGAAAACCCCTCAATGAAAAGCTATATAAACACGTTTAATGACAATATTATAGATAACAAGGAGAATAATATAAGAAATGAAAAAGAAATATATAATATAAATTCTAGTTATGAATATAAAGAAAATATTAGTGTTACATATAATGAAAAAAAATTTAAGAATGTCAATGTTGAGTGTACAGATGATTTACAACCATGCATTATTAGTAGTTATAATTATGTTGATGCTAATAAAAAAAAGGGAGAGAAAAAAAAATATGAATATATAAAAATGCATCTAGAAAATTTACACGAAAAAATGAAAAATATAAGAACTTCAAGAGTATACATTTGGATATATTTATATGTAAATTATGTGTTTGAATTTTTATTTAATAACAGTAAAAAAAATTATAAAAAAATAAATAATTTTAACTTGTGTTTTGATGAGGGACAATATGAAAATAACATTGATAATATAAACTGCAATACTTCGAACAATTATTGTAATAATATAACTAGAAATAATGAAAATAGTATTAAAAAAAAAAAAATAATTTTGTTCAATTTATCAGGGCTTATTGAATTTATTAATAAAAAAAGTAATTTAGAAAAAAAACATGTTACAGCTAATTTAAAAAGTTATATTGATAATGAATTATTTAAAGCTATCAAAGAAATTGATCCTGAAGATTTTATGATTGATGAAAGGAAAAATAAAAGTGATATTGAACATGATGAATATCATAAAATACGATTTTATGAAAATATTGAACAAGAAAAAGTATGCTACGAAGATGGTAACAATGTAAATAGAAATAAACATACGGATGAAATATTAATTTTTGATAATAATATAAATTATACTGAAGTAAAAGTTGATGATCATATACATAATAATAAGAGCATAGAAAAACTTGATAATACAGATGATTTCTTTGTGAAAAAAAGTAAATATAACTTTGTAAATATTAAAATAAATATATTTGTAAATGATTATATATATATGTTTGTATCTTATATTATTTTAAATGCTATTAAATTATCAATTTTGTTAATAGAAAAATATAATCTAACTATACCTAACAAATATATGGATTTAAGTTGTTATATTTATATTTGTCAAAAGAACAAATCGAACTCCAATATTTTATTTTTTATAAATAAATATAATATTCATCGCTATGTATTTTCGAATGATTTAGCTAATAAAGATATTAAGGAAAATTATTGTATTTATAAAAACATTGAATGTCATAATATAAATAACAAATATAATGATGTTAGTTTTATATTTATGGAAGACATAATATCATTTAAGCATATAAAAGAAAATAGTGACTATAAAACGTATTATGATGGCTATTCAAATAATTATAAAATTAAAAATAATTTCAACATGGTAAATCATTACTTAGAGGAAGATAATAAGACCTCTAATGAAATAAAGTATAATAATAATGATTATTATAGATTTTCAAATTATTATTTGAATAACTTTAATAATTACTATTTATATAATGATAAATTTGATAATTGGTATACTAATAGTAAAAATAAAAATAATGGTTATTCTTTTGATAAAAAAGAATATTTTGATTTTATTAACAATGGTTATTTACCTGATCATATAAAATCCAATTATTTCAAAAATTGTTCATCTAATAATAGATATTCTAAATATAAATATGTAGATAATAATCTTATGCATTTTGAAAATATAAAGAAAAAAAATATGAATTCTATCAATTTTTTTAAACATACAAGTGAAGAAAGAAAGGAAAAAACAACGTTTTCAAACCCTGAAGAAATAAAAAGAAACCACAAATATAATAGTTTTAGTATTGGTAATTTTATAGAAAAAAATGTACATAATGTAAAATATCTTTATGAAAACTTAGACAATAATGAATATGAAAGAGATCATTCAGATAACATTAAAAATAAAAATTATATTGACGTATATGACAAATGTGAAACTTCTTATGGTGTTAATATTACTGATAAAAAAGAGGATATAAATTATAATACTAATAAATACAATAATATAGAAAAAAAAACAAAAAAATCTTTGCATAGTTTCTATTATAATAGTAAAGATAATATAGAAAGTAATGATATTAACAATATTGTGAATAATAATTTCATTAGTGCAAAAAATAATAAGGAAATATATTTTGACATAAATAATATGAATCATATAAATTTTTTAAACTATTATATATACCCTCTTAAATTAAATGTTGTATATGATTTATATTTAAATGATATTTTAATGAATGAAACTAAAACATCTAATATAATAGATTATTGTAAAGGAGACAGAACATTAGAACTTGAATTAATCAAACAAAAAATAATGAACGGTAATATAAAATATGCAATTAAATTAATAAAAATATTTAATTATGAGCTATTACTATTTCCTAATTTATTCTTTTACTTAAATTTTAAATCATATAATTATCTTTTAAATACTTTTGATAAGAAGTATATTATTTATTATTTGTATGATAATCCGAAATATTTAAAGATATATTTGAATTCATTAATAAAAAAAAAAAATTTTGAATATTGTTTAATGGCGTTATATTTCTTATATCCCTCATATATATCATCAGAAGATTCAGATTTTAGGACATTTTGTCATTTATATTTAAAAAGTAAAAATTTTAAAAAAATAAATTGTAACATATATAATGATGGTTTTCAAGCTGCCAATGAAAACGAATTCAGAGAAACGAATAAAAATTATTCTATCAATAATGAAAATAATAACTTATTTATTTATAATATATGTTCATTTATAAAGAATGAATGTTTTATCTTAGATGATATATATTTTACATTTAAAAGTGAACTAGAGTTTGATGATTTGAGAAAAGTATATAAATTATCTGATCTATGTAAATATCTTGATATTTTTATAAATTTTAAGAAGATAAATCTAGATATTATAAAAAATTCTTTTCATTATTTAGTTGAAATGAATGGTACTTGTTCTTGTAAAAAACAATATATTTGCATAAAAGATTTAGGTTCTTCCTTAAAAGAAGTTGTTATAATAGAGACATATAATGATTTTCTAGATTTATATGAAAATATTAGAAAAAATGAAAAAGTCATATTTATAGATGCAGAGTGGAAGTGTGCAATATTTCGTGAAAATCCAATAATCTCAATTTTTCAAATTGCATTAAAAAATAATTGTTTGTCTTATATTATTGATGTAAAAAAAATATCTACTGAAAATTATGAGGTTAATTATTATATTTCTGAGCTTTTCAGAGATGAAAGCATTATAAAAATTGGTGTTGCATTTTTAAATAATGATATATTGCATTTTAGAAAATACTATGATATTCTGATTATGTTAATGCATGAAAAATATAAAAATATATTAATTGAAGAAGATACATTAGATAAGGAAGAAAACCAGTACAATAATTTATTTAAGCATAAAATGAAGATAAATAATGCAAATAATTGTGATGAATTTTTAAAAAAAATTATGGAAAATATATACGATTATGGTAGTAATAACTATTTTAATGATAATAAAAATTATAACTTTAACAAAAACAATATCCATTCTACTGATAAAAAAAAAAGAAGCCAGATAGATAAAAATTTTAATTTAAATGAGGATATAAGTTTTAAAAATATATATCCTGTTAATTATTTTTTGAAAAATAAAAAAAATATTGCATTAATTAAGAAGCTTTTAACAACTAAATGTAGTTCTTGTAATAAAATAGGTATATATAGTTGTATGCATAAATATTATAATTTAGAATTTATATGTACTAAATATTATGATGATCTAAAAAGTTATTTTCCATTTCTAAAAAAAAATATGAATTATTCACTTAAAATTATTGGTAAATCAATGTTTCCTGAAAAGGAAGTTAATAAAGAATGCCAGATAATCAACTGGAACTTCAGACCACTTTCTTCAGTTAGTGTTGAGTATGCTATTTTAGATGTTCTAATTTTGAAAAATTTTTTTAATTTAATTCAAACAAAATTATCATTTAACATTGAAAATGCTTTATAAATGTGTATACACACACTTTTTAATTTTTACCTTTTTTCTTTTTTCAAATTAAACATTTTAAAAAATATTATTTATTTGGAATATGTCTTTAAAATGAAACTAAAAATTATAAAATACATGTTTATATAAATATTTTTCTTAATAAAGTTTTCAATTTTTGAAGTGTTACTATTTTTTAAAACATACATTAAAAATAAATATATTTTTATGTGTAAGTATTGATTATAATTTTTTTTTTTTTTTTTTTTTTTTTTTTCCTTTATTATTAAACAATTATTTTGTTTTTTATAAGTAATTTTTTTTATCTGTTATTCATTTTTAGCTATGAAACTTTTTTCTTTTACTTTTTTATTCTTCATAATTTCTTAAAAAAGTTGTTTGTAAGAATTTAATTTTTATCATATTTTTTTGTTTTTTAAATGAAAAAAAATAGAAAAATTATATATACATATATATATATATCTAGTTTTATCAAGCAACAAAAGTATAATGTATAAATTTTATTATTAAATAATAAAAATTATAAGATTCTATATATTCTTCTTAAAGAAGCTCTAGAGATAATTGCATACGCGATCAAATAAAAAAAAAAAAAAATTATTTATATAGGATTAATAAAACAGATTTAAAAAATAAATGTAATAATAGAATAACATATAATTCTTTTTATCTTAAATTCTAAAGAAGTGTATATATCAAAAACATTAAATCAATTATTTTTGAATGATTATCTTTGTAAATAATGAAAAAAAAAAAAAAAAATTCATTTTTTGTCACATTATTTTTATTACTTTCATTTTTTTTTTTTTTTTTTTAATCTTCTTCGTCTTCCCCCTCTTCGCTTGAATTATCATCTTCTTCTTCGTTACTTGAATTTTCTTCATCTTCTTCACTTGAATTATCATCTTCTTCCTCACTAGAAAGTTCATCATGTTTATCCAATAATTCTTCTAATCTTTTTTCTTCATCTCCTCCTATTACCAAAATATCCCCTTGTTGTTTAAAATCTCCACCTTTATATTCTTTAATTTTATCACTAATAACTTTCATAGCTTCTTGTATTTTTGCCATTCCAAGCTCTTTATCATGGCAAGACGTAACAATAACATACTGTGGTGGCGCTATTAACTTAATATTAATAGAAACTTCTTCATTTGAAATTTCTTTTCCTTTTTTTAATGCTTCTTTAACAGCATCAATACCTTCATAACTAAAGCACCAAACATCAATTCTACCTCTTAATTTTAATGCTTGTGGTGTAAGTCTAAGCTGTATGTCAGCAAGTAGTGATTTTTTAATTTCTTCATCTATATCTAATCCTTTAAAAACACCTTCTGGGTTCATTGTTGCTTCTTTTAAAGCATCTAATGCATGATCATATTTTTTATATAATGGCCAAATAGCTCTTCTATTTAATTCCTCGACAGTCATACCATGTTTTTGCGCTACATGTCTAACTGTTTGGTGAACCTTTTTTGATTTAGAAAATTTCTCTTCACATTTAATTATATCTTTTGGAGATACTCTTCTTTTTGATAAATCAATATAACCTTTTTGACTATCTACTCTTAATACTAATACAACTTCATGTCTTCCAACTCGAATTAATTTATTAACACTTCTGAATCTTCTTTTTGATAATTCAGACATTAAAATCATCCCTAAAAAAAATTATCATATATATATATAAAATATATTTTTCATATTAAGTATGTATTTTATATATTAAACACAAATATAAAATATATCTTATAAATCATATAATTATTATTTACATATAAGAAAAAAATTTGTTTTATTTATTTTAAAGATATCAAAAAAAATTTATTTTTTAGAAAAATTATTCAAAATATATAATATCATTATAAAACATAAAAAACAAAACTTATATCTTTTTTTTTTTTTTTTTTTTAATCACCTTCCATATCATTATATTCTAATATAGATACATATGCTCCCATATCTTCAATTCTGTTGACTTTAACCATAATCAAATCATCAACTTCAGGAAACTTTTTTTCATAAAAACGACAATCACCTAAATCAACTTTGTTCCTAGTTTCTGCCATATTGTTCGCTAATGGAATTTATAATTTTTTTTATAAATTTAAAATAAAATAAAATAAAAAAAAATTACATAATAAATATAAAAATATTTTTTTTCATTTATAAATCTTTCCTTTTAAAATATTTTACATAATTTGTAAATTTAAAAAAAAATTTTCTTTTATTAAATGAAAAAAAGAAAAGGAAAATAATAATAAAATAAAAAATATTAATATGTACATGTATATTATATGTATATTCATATTATTATTTTTTTTTTTTTTTTTTTTTAACATGTTAAATATTATATATAAAAAAAAAAAAAAAAAAATTAGCCTTAAACTGCACTACATAAATTTTTGTTTGTATTATTTTTATATTTTAGTTTTTAAATTTAATTAATCATATCTTTAAGTTATTTATATTAAAGCTTTTCTTTAAAATAAATTCATTTTTTTTTTTTTTTATAATAAATAAATTTGTTTGATTTTTGACATATATCTTGATAAGTAATGTTATAGAAAAATATCACTAATATTATTATAAAAAATAAAAATTACACTAGATACAAGTTACTTATATAAAATTTTGGCAGAAAAATAAATACAATTATATATTTCGTTAAAATTTATATTTTTAGTAAAGGAAAATATATTTGTGAGTCTAAATGTGCTTTAAACTACAAAAGAAAAAAATTAAAATTTTCCAGATTAGTAATTATGATATATTTTCTTACATCTTTATAATGTATATATAAAACAATCCATTTATAAATTAAATATTTTTATTTAAAAATAAGTTAGAATGATTTAAAAAAAAAAAAAAAAGAAAATATATGTATATAAAAATCAAATTTATTAAAAAAAAAATAAATAGAATAACAAAAAAGTAAAAAAAAATGTATTATATATATTTATAAAAATTTATATTATGCCAGAGAAAAAGAAAAAAATTAGTTCTTTGTATCTATACAAATTTTATTATGATAAAACAAAGCTAAAGAAATATTCTATGGAAAAATTATGCATTTTAAAAAAAAAAAAAAAAAAAAAAAGTATTTCCATAGAAGGTAAGGATTTTCATAAAATTGAAGATATAAAAAAAAATAAAATTTTTGATTTTTAAAAAATAATATTAATTGACAAATATATAGGAATATGAAATATGACAGTAAATTTATGAATATAATAAACTAAGAAAATAAGAATTGACACATTTGAAATAATTTTATAAGTTTCCAATAAAAAAACAAAATAAAATATCTTTGAAAAATGAATTAATATATTTTGAATTTAATGATATTTTATGATAATTAATCAATGCATTTGATACTTTTTCGCTTTTCTTCTCCCAGTGCTTAAGAATACTGTATGTATTAAATGAAGTATTCATAACTAATGACTCTGCTAATGGTATTCTAAATGGGCATTGCATGATTTTTATATTTTTGAGAATAATTTTTGCTATTCTTTTTAAAATTAAAAATAAATGATAATTATCTTTTTTTTTATATATAAAATAAAAATCATTATTCTTATCAATTAATTTTCTATTTATTTTTTTGAGTTTTCTAAGTTTATTATAACTTAGGTAATTCTGCTTGTTCTCAATGGTATTTATAAAATATAAATATTTACATTTATTTATATCCTTTTTCAGAAAATTTTTATTTATTCTGAATATCCTTTTTCCATTTAAGAGTCTATTATGAAATAATGTAAAATTATATTTTTTTTTATTATGGAGTTTATTCTTTTTTCTTCTTTTCTTCATTTTTTTTTTTTTTTTTATTTGTATTTCTCTGTCTTCTTTTTCCATAGAGTTAAATTTACATAACATTTTATTTCCTTTTAATATAATTGAGTGAATATACTTGTTATACCTATAATCGTAAAAATGTCTAAATTGAGGTATAAAAAGAAAATTTTCTTCATCATTAGCAACTGTATTCCAAAAATAATAATAGTTGGGGAAATTACAATATTCAGTGAATAAATATATTAAATCATTACAATTATTCACTCCTATTTTTTTTTTATTAAAAATTATACATTTATCAACATATCCTTTATGATAATACTGTAAAAATATAGTTTTTATTAATTTGATATTATTTTCAAAGAAATACACAAAATACTGATCATTTTCAAAAAATGTTAAATATTTAATCAAGCTGTATTCGCTCGAATTTTTATATATTCTTTCTATTATTTTAAGGTATTCAAAATTGCAGCTGAGTATATCAGGTAACTTATCAAAAATAAAATTTTCTTTACTTTCTTTTTTTTCTAATAAAATTTTGCAATAGTTTGTCACTTCATTATGATTAGATTGTGAATTACTTAAATTATAATTTTCTTTATTTTTTAATACTTTTCTTTCAGTTGAATTTTTACTAATGCTGCTTGTATCAAAAAAATAACTTTTTGAATTTTCAGAAAGGGCGTATTTATTCAAGGAAAATTCTTCTAAATCTATATAAATAATTTTTTTTTTATCTTTGTAATTTATAAAATAATGAAAAAATTCCAAATCATAAATAATGTATTTTTTCCTTTTTTTCTTTTTATTTTTTGTTAAAGAATTTAAATAATTGTTTTTCCAATATTTATAAAAGAAATCATAAAAATAATAAAAAGAATTATAAATTTCCGATAAAAAGCATAAATAATTTACACATTTATTGATATGCAAATTTTGTATCAACTGCAAAAAATAATAATTATTATAAATTTCACTGATCAATTGAGCATTCGTAAATCTTTTTATATTATTTAAAGAATATTCTATTAACATTTTATTAATATCATTTAAAAAATTTGCTTCATTTTTTTCACCACTTTTATAGTAAAAGGAATATATGTTATTTTTAAAGTATTTATTGTTATAAAGATTGTTATGTGTTACAATTGGTAAAAATATATTGCTATTATAATTTATTTCATTCTTATTATCATCATTTTTTATATTATATTCTTTTTTATTCAAAAAAGTGTCCAAGATATTAACAATATTTTTGTGTCTTACCAATATATCAGGTGAGAAACGTTTGATAATATAGTTTTCTTTAAAATAATTTAATATTAAATGATAAATAAGTTGTATATAATGCTTTTTTTCTTTATTTGTTTCATTAAAATTTTCAATTATTTTAAAGATTTTGTTAAATTCTTCGTTGAAAAAATAAAATAATTTGGAAAATTGCTGATTTAATAATTCTTCATTATAATTTATGTATTTATCTGTTTCTATTTTAAGATAATATTTTAACATTAAAATTTCATTTACGTTTTTATTTATATAACTATTTTTGATTTGAAATAACAAAAGAGCATTTTCTGAATAGAAAATTTGAATTTTTGCATAATATTTCGTTAATTCTAATAGAAATTTTGATATATTACTAACATTTTTATTGCTTTCCATCATTTTATTATTTAAAATGTTTTTTAAATTAACTTTAAATGTATTAAAATAAAATGATTTCATATTATCATTTAATAAATAGTAATATGGATCATTCATGTCATTTAATAGGTTATTATGCTTTTCTTTAGCTATTGTAGTTACTAATGAGTTGTTATATTTTTTAATTAAATGTGAATCTTCGTATTTATCTCTATTAAAAATTCCATGATTCCCACTCAATATATTTTTGTTAAATAAAAAGTAATCATAATTATAAAAATCAGTGAATAACAAATTTTTATAATTTAATGATACATTATATTCTTTTTTTTTAACAAATATGATACCTCTTTTTATTATTTTTTTTATTATATTTTTATTATCACCAGAATTATTTTCATTAAAATTAGAAAAACTCAAATTATAATAATCATTGTTGATAATGGAAAGATTTACTATATTTAGAAGTGGAACAACACATGGAGATAATATAACTTTCTTATTATAACATATATTATTACTCTTAAGTAAACATAAATTATATTTGTGTACTTTATTTGTTGCTATCATATTTTCTCCTTCTGTAAGATTTCTTTTTATTAATGTATAATTAATCTCTTTTTCTTTATAAATTATTTGAATAGGTAAATTGACAAATTTATTAGTAGATATATCGTAAATTTGTAAAAATCGTTTATCAATTAATAAAACATATAAAAATTCTATCAAATGGATAAGAAAATGAGATGATAAATCATATATATGAAAAAAACTAAAGATAATCAATGTTAATGTACATATAGTTAAGTCTATTTGCTTTTTTAAAATATATTTTCCACATCCTAAATTTATGTAACCTAAATAATAATAATATAAATTATTCATATTTTTATCTCTAATACTGATTATATTATTTATTTTATTTTTTATTTTTTTATTAAGAATTTGATCACAACTACCAACAAAAACTAAAGATAAACATTGATAAATTAAGTTAACTATATCATTCATGTCTTCTTCTTTGACTTTATACAAGAAATCATAATTATGTTCTGATTTTTTCATTAATAAATTGTTTGCATAATTTTCATTTTCATTAGTATATTCATTATCTATATATTTTTTAATTTTTTTAATTTTTTTAACATATTTTAAGATCAGCTTATATATATGTAAATACTTCTTATTACAATTTCTTTTATCTTTTTCCATTACACATTTAATATTTTGTATTAAATCCTTATCAACATTTGTGTTTTCATTATTTGTATTTTCATTTTTTCTTATACTTGAATTAATTGAATAATTATCATCTAAACCAGTAATCAAATTATAAAAATTATTATTAATTTCATCATTTAAATCATCACTTAATTGGTATGATCTCTCATTTTTCATTCTATTTTTCTTTTTATCATTAACTATATTACTCAAACTATTAATTTTATTTTTTGTTGTATTCAAATTTATTTTGTTGTTCATTTGATTGTTAAGTGCATCATTTGTTTTTTCCTGTATTCCATTATTATATTTGTAAGATGTATGTTCATTTGAATTTGAACACAAATTATTTTCTTCAGATGTAATTTTACTAACTAGTTTTTCTTCAATAACATTATCCTTAATTTTTTGAACTAAATAACTTATTTTTTTATATAATTTTTTAAGTTTTTTTTTTGCATAAATATCTTTATTTAAATTTTCAAAATAAGAAATATAATCAAAGCATATTTTTTTAAATCGATCATGATGTGTTGATAAATACTTTAAACTCAAAACTTGTAATACTCCAATAATAATATAGTAACGTAATAATTCACAATTATAAACAAAAGTGTTATCTTTGGATAATTTGTTATCAGTATTGTTTTTATTGTTATTATTACTGCTATTATTGTTACTTTTAATATTATTATTATTTGAGTAGCTATTAGAGCTATGAAATAAATAACTCAAATGTGCTTCTTGTTTCATTTTACTATTATAACAGTTAAAATAATTTTTTTTTGTAAGAGAAAAATAATAATTGTTTTCATAAATTCTGTTCAATTCACTACAAATAAAGTCATTATCTAAATTTATATGACCATTTTTTAAAATGAATTTTTTTTCTATGTTTTTATTTTTGAACTCCCCATTTTCATCAAGCAAATACATATAAGGTAACTTATTGTTATTTCTTATTAAGTCATTTGGTAATATTCTTAAAAAAACTGGTATGTTAGATAAAATATATTCATGAGATAACTCAACGAAATCATAAATAATCATATTCCTAGCAAAAGATTTAACCATTATATCATAATTATTAAAATAATATACATGATCATTTTTCATAGGCATAAAAATCATATTAAAAGCATGAATATTATTAGTTCTAAAAAAACATAAAGAAATTGACAAGGCAGATGATATCATTATATGCGTTATATCATAGGGGACTTCATTATTTATATGTTTCCATGAAAAGCCTTTTATAAAATTATTCCTGTGAATTCTGAATGGTATATTAGCATTTATAAAACAAAATAAAGAACTAATTATATTATTAAATAAAATACCTTTTTTAAAATTAATACAACCAACTGTCCAAAATATAGATAGTAAATTTAATTTACTAAGATCATTCTTTTGCAATAATTTTAAAATATATCTAGTTAGAAATTTATTATTGCTATTCAAATGTAAATATCCTATACATAAAATGTTACTACTCAAAACTAAACTGTCAAGATATTTTTTTTTTTTTCTGTATGTTTTTTTTATTTTCTTCATTTTTCTTTTTTTTTCTTTGTCTTCTTTATTCATATTATCAGAAGAAATAGAGTTGTTTATCGAAATATTCAAAAGAGAATTTATCTCATCTATGTCATCAATATTATTTATTTTGTTAATATCATTATTTTTCCTTGAATTACATACATATTGTGGAGTATTTGACTCATTTTCATTTTTTATAGAATTATTTTTATTTAGATTATTTTTTTGATAATCATTGAGATTAAAATTTATATGATTATCATTTTCTTCACAGCTACTTGATGAAACTATCTCTCTATTATTATTATTATTATTATTATTATTATTATTATTATTATTATTATTATTATTAGAATTAGAATTAGAATTACTGTTATTATAACTATCATTATTTTCTTCGACTATAATATTATTTTCTTCAATTATATTCCTTTCATTATTTATATATACATTAGATTCACCAAAATGATTTATTTCACTATTTATATTTCTTTCTAATGTATTATTTGAAATAGATGTATCACTCGTTAGAAGTAGCGTAGAACTAGTTTGATCTGAGAATTCATTATCATGTGCATACAACATATTAAAGCAATCTGACTTATTATTATTATTATCTGTAATATTTTCATAATTTTTATTTTTGAAGTCGTGAATATTTGAAATATTTTCCGATTTATTTATTTTTTTTTTTTTGTAGAATGCAAATTTATAATTGTCTTCATTACATTGATTTTCATTTAAACAATGAAACAACAAATTTTCATAATTTAGCTTTTTGTCATCATACAACTCTTTAAATAAAGCATTTATGCATAGAGAAGTTAATTCTGAATTTTGAGTTGATATTAATGATAAAGAAATTCCTAATATACAACAAATATATAAGCACCTATTTTTAAATTTTAAAATATATTGTAAAAATAAAGAAATTTTAATATTTTTGTAAAATTGTAATAGACCTAAACCATATATTAAACCTGCTAAATAGTAGGTACCACAATATTTTTGGTTTTTATTTAAAAATTTATATAAATAATTTTCATTGTTTACTATATTTAATAGGACCCTATTTTTTTTTTTATCTATATCTTCATATTTTTTGTATAAAATAGTTTGACATAAAGAGCATTGCAATTTGAATGAATTTCTTATCTTGGCGTTTACAAAATTATTATATTTAATAGATTTTGTTTTATCAAATGTAAAATCAAAAAAATCTAATTTTTTTTTTATCTTTAGAGTATTCTTAAAATCATTCACGCCATAAATATTACATTCCTCTATAGGTGTATTGTTAATAGATATAAAATCATTGGAATGATTTAATGTTTCCCTACGATTTATAATACTTCTAGTAGAATATATTGATAAACGATTTTGTAACATATTGTGAGAAACAGAATTTCCATTTTCTATGTTATTATATCTTCTATCTCCATGAATATTAGAATCTATTACATTGTTAACATTATATGAGATATTACTATCTCTTCTTTCATTATTTACTATATAACTATTTCTTCTATCGCTATAAAGAACAGACATTTGACTGTATCTTGTTTCATTATTATGAAATAGTATATTACTTCTATATGTTCTATTTATATTATCGAATGATATATCATTCATTTTTTCGTTATTTGCAAAATCATTTAATGTTTTGTTAGGAGTGTATAAAAAATTACTCGAATAAAATTCATCATTAGAAGACTCGTTGTTATTGCTATTATTATTATTATTATTATTATTATTATTATTACTGTTATTATTAATGCTGCAAGAAGAACTAAAATAATTAGTTATATTGAATGTTTTATTATATTCACTTTCTTGATGGGAACTAATTGAATCAAGACTTTCATTTCTTTCATTTTCATTATTATTTATTTCATTATTTCTATTAGATTCTCTTGGTAAAATATTATTATTGGAAATACTATTATTAAAATAAAAATTTTCAATGTTATCACTAGTTTGTGTAATTAAAGAAGCACCTATTTTATTTGCTATTTCTTTCATTGTCATTGTGTTAAATGTTTTTAATGTATTTTTACATCTTTGTAATTTTTTAAAATATTTATTTAAGATTAATATTTTTTCAATTTTTGCTACTTTTATATTAACATTTATGGAATTTAATATGCTATTTAATTTTAATTTTATTTTTTTTATATTTTTTTTATTTTTTTTTTTTATATTATATTTTAATTTGTGTAACCTATTATAAGATGTACGATAGTTCCTATTAAAATTAAATGAAGAATATTCTCGAAAAACATTTATAGAATTACTGTTATTATTTGGATAGCTGTTAATAGAACTATTTTCAAAATTGTTATTATTTGAACTATAATCAAAGTTACTATGAGTATATCTTAGATTATTAGAAGAATTTGTTCTAAAATTGTTACCATTACTAATCCTTCTATTTACGGTTAAAATATTTAAATCAGGTAGATTATTGTTATGTAAAATATTACCTGAATGTCTATCAGGAGTTCTATTTTGATAACTTCTATTTCTTGAATTATTATTATTTATGCTTCTTGAGCTATTTCGTATATTTCTTATATTATTATTACTTGTTTCACTTATACTATTATGCCAGTAATTATTGAATTCTCTTATTCTTCTGTTAAGCATAGTAACTTCAGATGGTTCATTAAATGGATCATTATTCAAATTTCTACTCATATTATCTAATTCGTATTGAGGATCTTCATTATGTGATATAGGATTGTTACTATTATTATTATTATTATTATTATTATTATTATTATTATTATTGTTATTTCTGTTGTTATTAGTTAGATAATTTATTCCATTAAGATTATTATTAAAATTAAAACTTGAATAATTATTTGGACTATCTAGTGTTTCTCTAATATATGCACGTGATATCATATTAAATGATAAACTATCATTAGGAGGAAAAGAAACATTACTTAAATGATTTTGATTATTTTTTATTTCAAATAAATAAACATATATATCATATTTTATATTAAAATTAATATTTGGTTTGTAATGAATTGAATTTAATATGTTAAAAAAGTTAATTTCACTAATACTAAACATACATGTGTATTTCATTTTATAAAATTTTTCTAAGGTATAATATAAGTGCATTAAATCTAAGACTTTATCTACATTTTCATTTATTTTCGTATCAATTAATATTTTTTTTTCTTCTAAATTATCTAAATTTATTAATTTAATTATTTTTTTTAAATATTTATTTACATTTTTTTTATTATATTTGTGCTTATGTATATATGCACTTTCTAAACTATCAGAAGTATTTTCCATATCTACTAAATCTATTAAATCTTTACTTTTTGAGTTATTTTCTTCTTTATCTTTTAATAAATGTATTTTTCTTTTCTTATAATATTTAGAAAAATAATAATTATGAAAGTTATTTAAATAAACAACAACAGGATCTTTATTATGTGGAAAATAACACGATGAAATATTTCTATCCATTTTAAAAGTATCAAAAAAAAAAAAACAATCTTTTAATATTTTATAATCACTTAAGTAACTTTTTTGCACTATTTCTTTTTTGTTCTTATCGTTATAATTTGTGTCACTTCCTTTTTCCTTTTTTTTTTTTTTTTCACTCCCTTTACTATTACTAAAAAAAATATCATAATTATTTTTCTTCAATATTTCTATTACATTATTAAAATTTTTTTTCAATTTTAAATTAGATAATTCAAAGAATTTGTTATAATATAAATCCTCTCTATTAATGTTGATATAAAAATCTATGTTTTCAAAATTGTATATTTTATAAGAATCAAAAAATTTAATTATTTCTATGCTAGTTTGATTTTTGCTAACTATTATTTCGTTGTTTTCATTGTAGAATTGATTTATTTTATTGCTCTTATAGTTATTTTTTTTAAGTTTCGATGTTTTCATAAAATTACTTATATTATTTTGTATATTTTTCTCATCATCTTTATTTTCTCCTAGTGTAACAACGTTTTTTGTTTTTTTTCGTTCATTATCATAGTGATAATAATAATTATTATTACAATTCATATCATCTTCATAATGTCTTTTATTTAATAAATTATTGTTATTATTTTTGCTTTTAAATAATTGATATGTATTAAAAAATTTTAAATATAAAAAATACAAATTTTTGTTAAGCAGAAATATATTCTCATAAAATATACTTTTTAGTAGAATATTAACAATATTTATATCAACTAGATTTAAATAATCAAAATATTTTATATTGGATACAAAAAAATATGTTCGATTTTTATATGAAACTATATCTTCATTTTCATTATTATCATTTTCATTATATGTTACATATTCATCACTACTTTCGTCATTGTCACAACTTTTCAGAATATATTTATTTACAACATTTTTGTTTTTACATTTGGTGAAACTTTTATCATATTGAATGTATCTATTATCTTTCAAATTTTTATTGTAATTTATATTTTTGTTATTATTACTAATGTTATGATGACCGTATTTGTTATTTATTTTTTTGCCATTTGTTAGAACCTTACCTATTTCTTCATCACTGTTCATAAAATCTAAATTAAAAATAGATGAATAGATTACATCTAATTCACCTTTAATTATGTTCCTATAAAAATTTTTATATAAAATCTTTTTTTTAACTTTTGATTTATAAAATAGACTCAAATACGAAATAATTAAAAGAAGTTTTAAAGGAAAAAATAATGAAGAAAAATAATATAAATATTTCATTTGATCATTGGATAAAATTGAAGATTTAAATAACTCAAAATTATTATAACAATTATTTATATTTTTATTATATTTAATTTCTTTTCCCTTTTCTTTTTCTTTTTTTATAATATTCAAAATTTTTTCTACTTCTCTTAAATAGTATTCATATTTTAATTTTAGTTTATTTGAAAAGAATTCTACATGCTGTAAGAAAAAGGTAGTATTAATATAATGATTAAGACTATTTTTATAATTATTGTTTTTATTAACATCTACAATTTTATGTAGAATTTCTAATATACTGGGAATTTTTTTTAATTTTGTAAATTTTTCTTTCAAGTAATTATTTATAAATGTATATTTTGAAAAACTATATGTTGACGTGCTATTATTAAATTTATTATAATTTATTATATTATCATTCATTGTATTAATATATGATTTTTTATTATAAGAAATATTATCATTTGAATTATTGGAACTTATATTTTTTACATGTTTATTATCTGGTTTTAATTCATTTTCTTCATTTGCTCTTTTAATAGCATTATTTGAGAAGTAACTATATTTAGATGTATATTTACACTTTTTTATTAATTCATATTTATGATACATTTTACATATATGAAAATAAAAATGTTCTAATTTTTTTTTCTTATATATACTTAGCTTATTTATATAATAGAACAAAAAATTATACAGATTTAATGTATAAGATAATATAATAATAATTAGTATTAAATTATTTTTTATTTTTTGATCTATATATTCACATATATTAATTTCATCAAAATACAAATGTAAATAAGTTAATATTAAGTATCTATTATTGTATATATGTTTATATTTATTGTGTAAATATTTTATAAAATTATTAATTACACTATAATAATTATCATTAACATGAGAAAACTCTTTTTCTCTCATATTTTTTTTTATTTTACTAGAATCTATATTTGTATTATTATATGTATCTCCACATTGATATATATTATTATTTTTACTATTATCAGAAATATCATTGTTTTTTTTTTTATATACAATTTTTTCTATTTGTCTTTTTTTACAACTGGAAGAATTTGATGAAGATTGTGAAGAAATATAACTTTGTTCACTATCTGTATTTATTTCACTATCATAGTTAAACAAAAAGCAATTAAATTTTGATTCGTTATATTCCACAAGTTCATCATGAAAATTCTTTTTTTTTTTAATATATAAATACTTTTCTAATTTTTTGTATGTTTTTAAATCTTCTACACATAATAACAGAAATAAGTATATAAAACGACTAAATTCTATATGTTGTAAATTTTCTATATCAGAAAAATTCAAATTAAGCATCTTATACTTTTTTGTATCCTTAATAAATTCTTTGTTTGAATCTATATAAGAATGTTTAGAAGTATTACATTGATTATATTGATAGTTCATTTGTTCATTTAATTCTATGTTTTCTTTTTTATTATTATTATATGCTATGTTGCATGTGTTATCTTTTCCTAAAATATTTTTTTCTTTGTAATTATTAAAATTTAAAGTGTTGGTATATGTATTATCCATCTTATCAAAATTGTCACTTGTATTCTTATTCTCACTGAATTCTATATATTCATTATCAAAAAAATATATATCTATATTTAAAAAATTAAATATATTTTTATTCTCTTCTTTCTTTTTACATTCATAGAGACACAATGTAAAAAATTCTGATGAAATTTTTTTACATATATAATAATAAAAGAAAATTAAAAGAATTTTTAGTGTCTTATTTTTAGGTAATATATCAACATGAATTCTAAAAGATTTCAAAGAAATACTATTTTGTTCATAATCGATTGTATCTACCGTTAAGTTGCATAAGTTTGAATTGTATATATTATATATTTGTGATTTATTATTATGTAAATATATGCTAGTAACATAAACGTCATCTGATAACAAATATAAAAATCCATTTGTATTTAAAATAATAATAAAATGATTAATTTTATTAATATCAAGAATAACATTATTTTGTTTTTTCATATTTTTTTCTGATTCGTTCTTTATGTTACTTTTTGATTTTAGTATGTTAATTTTTTTTTTTAATAAATTATTAAAATAATATTTTCTTTTATATCCTGTAGAGACATTAATGATATTTTCTTCTAGTTCTAAACATTTATTTTGTAGTTTTAAATTAGTGCTATTAATTTTATTGTTTAAAAATGCACATATGTTATATGGGTAGAATTTTATTGTAGAAAATTCTCTCGATATATTAATTGTAGTAAAATTTAAAACATTCTTAACAATTTTAATTTTATCTTTCACATATTTATGGAAAATAGGTATTATAAATAATAAATTATTGATATTATCATATAAACATAACTTAATTTTGTTATAAATACTTTTATTTCCTCCACTAGTAAGTATAATATGAGGCCTATATATTTCTGTATTAAAGTTAATATTATTGAAGGTTTCATTTTTATAAAAAAAATTATTTCTTTCTATACTTAAAAAATGTTGAAAAACAAGAAATTTGTTTATTTTTTCTTTTTTAAAATATTCTTTTAAAAATTTATTATTATATTTTTTTATATCATAGATAATATTAAAAAAAAAATAAGTATCTGTATTACATTCATATGCCAAACATATATTTACATTAGAATTAATATGTATAATATTCATATTAGTATTTTGATTAATTTTTGATTTTTCATTCGAAGAATATACTAGTTCATCAGACCAAATAAAAATCTTTTCTTTTTCATAAAAATATTTACATTTTTTAAAAAAGGAATAAGTACTCTCATTGTAAATAATGTTTGAGAAAAACGGATGAATAGCAGACACATATACAATTCTGATTTTTTCATTATAATTATTATTATATAAAGAATATGAAAAGTATTTTAACTTTTTAGAATCATTTAAAGTATTTACAAAAAATAAATGGTTATTAGTGTAAAAAACTCGAAGTGGCTTATATTCAACAAAAAATTGTATCTTGCTTATTTTACTTTCTGTATCTATTATTTCTATTTTAATTTTATTATCTACGCTTTTCTCTAAAGTATAAATATATTTATTATCATGATTTAACATCTCTCTACTTTTCAAATAATTATTATTATAATTATTAAATATACATTTATCACTTGATACCATATAAAAAAAGGTTTCATTAGAGATTTTAAAAGATTTTTTAAAGCCATCATAGTATTCAAAAGATATTAAATTGTTTTCTTTACAATATTTTAATTTATATTCATAAATGTTATCATTTATTATATTCGTCATAAATTTTGTCTTTTTTAATTTCTTGTTATAAATATTATTTATATATATTTTTTCATCAATATCTAAAATATTAGTATAATTTTTTCTTTTTATTTCATAAAGATAAATTTTCTTGCAAAATATTTTTAAATATATATCTTCTGTTTTTAATAAAAGTAATAATTTTAAAATATTTTCTTTAATTTTTGTCTCATTTTTTATACCATGACTTATATATCTAATATATTTTAATAGAAATTCTTGCTTTAAATAATCACTTTCTTCAACATAATAAAAATCATTTTTAAAAGAAATTTTATTCAAAAAATTGTCATTTTTAGAATTTTCTTTTTTCTTCTCTTTCTTTTTTATGTCAAAGTAGTTCAATATGGAGTATTTATTTTTCTTCTTAGAATTTTTGAGAGTATCTACATTTTCATCATAATTATTTGTGTTTTCGTTTTTCTTTTGAATTAAATTTTCACCATCTCTCTTTGTATATTTTGTAGCATTTTTTATAATAATAGCATAAACCATTTTAATTATTATTTTTTTTTTCTCTTTATTATTTAAATTTAAAATTATCGAAACATATCTATTTTCTTAATTTTAATTACATTTTTTAAATTTGAATATTTATTTTTGAAAACTTAAATATATGGAAAATAATACTGTTATAACTCTATTTAAGTGGATACATATAATTTTTTTTTTTAAAAGTGGTAACTTCTCATAATAAAATTAAGTCAAATAATAACAAATTTTTTTTTTTAAGAAAAATGTTAAGACTTCAAAAGTAAATAAAATAAAAATTTTAAAACTAAAAAAATTAATAATGTATTATTATTCAAAAAATATGTATAGATAATTTTCATTAATAATGTCTTAAAATAAATGATTCATTAAAAAAAAAAAATAATAAAATAAAGTAATAAATACAAAAAGATGAATCATAACATAATATTTTTATTTTTATAATAAAAAAAAAAAAATAAAATAAAATAAAATAAATAAAAAAGTTATATAATTAAATGAAAAAATAAAATCAAATTTTTTTCATGTATGAAAAAAAAAAGGTGAAAATACAAAAATAAATGATATTTAAAATAACTAAGCCATTTATCATACAAACAAAAAAAAAAAAAAAAAAAAAAAAAAAAAAGGAAAAAAAAAAAANAAGGTGAAAATACAAAAATAAATGATATTTAAAATAACTAAGCCATTTATCATACAAACAAAAAAAAAAAAAAAAAAAAAAAAAAAAAAGGGAAAATATAAAAATGGATAGAAGATATTAAAAATAATTGCATCACTTTATTGAAAAAAAAAAAAAAAATAATAAATTTTATTTGTATTAAATTTATTTTATAAAATTCCATATTTTAAAATATGTTTTCCATAGTATTTTATGTAAAATACTTAAAATAATTTTTTCTTTTTACTTAAGATATATTTTGGGAATTAAAATTTTATATGTTTACATTTTCAATAAATTAGACATTTAATTTTGAATTTAATATTCAAGCATACAATAATAAAAAAAAAAAAAAAAAGAAAAATTAATTATTAATAATATAAAATTATGATGCACATACATTGTTTAGCATACATAAAAGGAGTATTCAACTACAAAATAAATTTCTAAATATCCTTTATATATATAATTTAATATTCCTTTTTTTTTTCATAATTAATGTTAGATAAATTTGATACATAAAGGTTTAAATGTATTTCATAAAAATGTAATAATTTAAAAATTGAAGAATTAATTTAAGTTATAGAATTCTAATAAAACGAAAAAAGAGAATTAATCAAATAAGATAATAGATATATTCTGATTTCAACATATTTGAGATAATAAATTTAAAAAAAGAAAAATGGAAAAAAAATTAAAAAAAAATGATAATGAAAATGATTATAAACATATAATATTACAAATAGGTTAAAGAAAATAATATAACAAATATATATATTTATATCATTATAATTATACTTTTTTTTTTTTTTTTTTTTTCAAGAGAAGAGTTTTATATTTATTCTCTTAAAATATTTTTTTTTTTTGTTTTGAAACAATAATTTTTAATTTTATTATTAAAAATATCTTTTTTACATTATATGTAATTATATATATATATATATATTTAATATATGTTTATTATTTGTTATACTTAAATTTATTTTTTGCAGGTAGGAAATATACTTATGTTGGATTTTCTGGTTTACATAAGCCTTTATCAGTTATAAATACACCCGATATTTTTGTATACAATGAAAAGTTTCATAATTCTAATGAAGATAATGAAATTTATGAAATAATAGAAGTTTTTTCAAAAACAAAAAAAAAAGAGAATGATAAAAATAATGACGAAAAACTTTTACAACTGAATGATAAAAAAGAAAAAGAAAAATCAAAAAAGAAAAATGAAATTAATGATGATGATAGAGATGAAGAGAAAAAAATAAAAAAAGAAACAAAAAAAAAAGAAAAAAACTTAATTTATCATTATGAATATAAATATAGCCAAGATCTTAATTTATGGAATATATTTTTTGAAGAATATCTTTTTAAAATATTTCATAATTTAATTAAAACAAACATAAAAACAAAAAAGGTTATAGTTGTTTTGAATATGTTTATTCCTACTATAATTAAATATGCTCTTTGTAAAAGTTTAATCGTAAATTCAGAAAATTCATCTATTTCATATATTAATGATTTAATATCTCCTTTATATTTATGTAATTGCAATACTTGTTTGGTTGTTGATTTAGGTTATTTAAATTGCCGCTTATTACCTGTAATGAATGGATTACCTTTGTATCATTATTGCACTTATATAAATAATGGTGGTTTTTATATAAATAAAGAAATTAAAAGATTATTAAAAGAGCAATATATAAAAAGAGATACTTTTAAAAATGAAAATTTACATAAAAAAATTGATAACATTATTAATGATGAATGTAATAGCAATAAAGATGTATTCAATAATAATGATTTAAAAAATGATAGTAAATATATAAAAGAAGAAATGAAGGATGAATCAGATGATTTTTTGAATTACTATTGGAATTTATATACACAAGAAGAAATTATAAATGTTATTGATAGTTTGTCTGATAATGATATAGAAAATATAAAAATAAAATATTTTTATTTAAAAAACGATAAAAATAATTTTTTTAGTAATAAGTATATTTTATTTCAATATAAAAAATATGAAATAATAATTGAGCCGGAAACTAGATGGAAAGCTTGTGAGATATTATTCCATAAAAATTATGACCAGAATTTGTATTCTTTATTCTCTAATATATTAGAAAAATTAAATATCATGGAGACTTCTGTTTTTCATAATATATTATTGGTTGGCGGATGTAGTAACATAAAAGGAATTATTTCAAAGATCGCTGAAGTTGTTTTTCAAGTGTTAAAAGAAAAAAATAAATTAGCAGGAAATTTTGAAAATAAAGTGAACTTTCTTTTTCCAAAAATATCTCCTAATTTACGCCAGTTTATTGGAGCATCAATTTATTCTAATTTAGAAAACTTACCTGAATATACAGAAGAACATATTAACAATAATGTTTTGTATGATCATCTCAATGAAGATGTTTATATGACTTTTAAACAATGATTATATACTTTTTAATTTATTTCATTTTATTTTTTTAATAATAAATGTTTAATATTTTTTAGTTTATAAAATTAAATATAAACATATTTAATTAGTAATATTATTTCTTTATATTATCCAGAAGACAAAAAAAAAAAAAATTATATTTTCTCTTTTTGTTGATTGATTATTAGATTGTATTTAAATTATTCATTAGTAAAAAATACACACACAAAATATATATATGTATATACAAATATTTTTTATCCTTTTTTTTTTTATAATTCATTATTTTATTATTTTATTTTTTTTTTGTTTGATTTTTTAATGTAATGCATATTTTTTTTTTTTTTTTTTTTTTTTTTTACCTCAATAATATTAAAAAAAAGAAAAAAACAACATAGTAATAATAGCAAATTTATATATATAAATAATAAATATACCAAAATTTAATATATTTTTATGTTAAATTTTAACTTTTTTTTATGATTCAAATAATATCTTTTTTAAACATCCTAAACATATTTTTCTTTTATTTATTTCAAATAATACCCTCTTTTATTTTGATTTAAAATAGGACTTTTTTTTTTTATTTATATTATCATCTATTATTTGTCTATTACAATGAATACATTTTTTTTCATTTTATAGTTTATCTGGAAATTTTAGCTAATGTTATCTTTCTATAAATTTTTAGAGGTTTCATTTTTTTCAAGGTTTAGATTATTATCATTTGTTTTTTTTTCTTTTTTTAGCTTTTCGGTCATATTTTTTAATTTTTTTAGTATAATATTTAAATGAGCTTTTTCATTTTCAGCCATTTTATCATATAAATAGGAGTATCCATTAGTATATAAAGGTTTTATTTTTTCATCAATCGCTAAACACATATTTATTTTTTGTTGTTTTTCGAGCTCCATTCTTCTATTATAAAAAATTTTTTCAACTTTTTCTAAAGCCTCTTTTTTTCCATATCCTCTATTCATATAATACAGTTGATGAGTAGCCATTTGTGTAACTATATGATCATTTCTAAAAAAATCATACCCCTTTATATTATTATTACCTTCAACAAAACAATCTTGAAATCTTAAATGAGGATATTTTTTTAATAAAAATTTTACCAAATCAATATATTTATTATTGTTGAATTTTGATTTTAAACTAATATTATAAATTTCCATAGGTGGTGATCTCTCTGACCATTCTAACCATCTTGGCCTTTCATATAAATTAGTTTCAACTAACATTCTCATTTTATCAACAATATTATATTTTAAAGATCTGCAAAAATTTGAACCATTTGGATGAACAGCGCCTTTACCCATTTTTTGAAACAAATATATTTCTCTTTTTTAAATTATTTAAAAGCTTTAAAAGGAAAATATATATGTTATAGAAGCTAGATAATTATACTAAATTTTTCTTTCTATTATTAAATTTTTTAATTTTCTATTTTAAATTATTTTTATATTTTCCATAATCATTTTTCTTTTCATTTATCTTAATCATTTCTATTAAAATTTGTTTATTTTTTCTTTTTTTAATTTTTAGTCATCATTACAACTTTTTTTTTTTTTTTTTTATGTAATAAACGTAGTTATGAAATTAGTCTAATTTAAAAATTTGCATAATATAAAATTCATAATTAGATTACTTAATATATTTTTTTTTATTTTACTTTTTATAAAATTAATTAAAAATCTTTTAAGTAGAAAAATGTAAATTTTTTTTTTTTTTTTTTTTTTTTGAATTCTTTCCAAAAAAATAATTAATTTTTTTCAAATATTTTTACATGAAAATAACGTAAAATATATAAAAAAAAAAAAAAAAAAAAAAAAAAAAATTCATATATGAATAAATAAATAAAAAATAAGCTAAATTAAATAATACTTATCATTTTTAATGTTCTAGTTTTTAAGGTATTTTAAAATTAAAAATTAAAAAAAATGAATCATGTTACTATTTTTTTAAGAAAATTATCTACCAAAAATGTGAATTCAGAGGATTTAAATATTTTAAAAAAAAAGATAAGATACAGATTTAAAAGTGTTAGTTTTATAAAAATATTATAATTTGAAAAAAGTATTTTTATATCTAAAAAAGAAAATTTATGAACACATAATGAAGAATAAATTTAAATATATATATCAATTCATGAAGAACTTTTTTAGATGTGTAGTGAATTATATATATGTATGCATTATTGATACAATATCGTTTTAATGATATTGTTTATTATTTAATGGATTTTTTTAAAAAAAAAAAATTTATATTTTTTTTTTTTAGGTTGGCATGCTTGAATTAGATACGATAATAAATAATTATTTAAATGTAAATATGAATAAAATTGATAAAGATAAAGTAAATTTATTATACAATTTAGTGGATATTGACACTAGTAATTTATTGAAATTGTTTTATTTTTATTCTAATAAACAAAATCATAATGTTGATAAGTTATCACATTATTTAAAAAATAAGGATAAAAAAGAAATAACAGATACTTTTAAGTTGCTGATTGATATTCTTAATCATAATGAAAAATTTTTAAGTTCACAATAAAAAGTAATTAGTATCATTATAAGATATAGTATTTTTCCTTTTGTATTTTTCCTTTTCTTCTAGTTAACATAATTTGAGAAACTAAAAAATTTGTGTAAACAAGATAAAATTATAATATTATAATATTATATTTAATATAAATGTTTTTATTTTTAATTAATTTTTATTTCACATTTCAACTAAGTCAGAATGGTTTATATTCCCATCTTTATCAACCTAAATTTTTTTTTTTTAAAACAAATTTTTTTTTATATTTTTTTTTATAATTTTTTTTTTATATTTTTTTATAATAAATTTATTAAAAATAAAAATATATTACCGGAACATCAATTAAAAATTGTTTAAATTCTATTTCACTAAATTTATTTCCATTTTCGCATAATATAGTTTTTAAAACACTTTTTTTTATAACATTATCTATTTAAAAAAAAGAAATAATAATAATAAAAATTAATGAAAAATAAAAATAAAGAAAAGAATTTAAAAAAAAAAAAGAAAAGAAAAAAAGATACTATGGGGATTCAAAAAATTAATGCATTTTTCAATTTTTTTCTTTGCATAATAGTTGCTTTGAAATTTAACAACATAATCATTTAATTCATCAAAATTGTAGTAATTTTTATCTTCAAAAATTTCATTATATATTTTAAATCTGTGAAATATCATCATTAAAAAAGAGAAATTTAATAAAAAATATTGAATTAAAAATATTAATTTAAATCATTTATATATATATATATATATATTTTTTTTTTTTGTTGTGAAAATTAATACACAACTTATATATATTTTTATAAAGTAAAAATCTACCAAAATAAAATTTTAATTACAACAAAAAAATATATGTACAGTGCATGTGCTACATGTATATATATTCTTTTAAATAGTTCAAATATATTAAAGTAATTAAATAAAATTATATTTTTTTTAAAATACCCTAAAGATTTTAGTATTATTATTAGATCTTTTTTGTCAATAAAATCTTTTTCTTTTTTCAAATTAAATAAATCAATAATTCTTGATTTCTATAATATACAATTTATATATATATATATTTTAATTTAGTTATATGCATGAAAAACAGTAAAAATAGATGTCCTTGTAAAATTTCCTGTTCAATTATATAGAGAATTTTAATCTATTTTTTTGTTTTTGTTTTTATATTTTCTCATTAATACAAGTACAATTAATACTTTCTTAAAAATAAAAATAAAAGCATTACTTGTAAATCATCCATGTTAAATATAAATATTATAAAAAATATAAAAAGCTTTAAAAAAAATATTTTGTAAATGTATATATATATATTTTGAGCTTGTTAATATACTTAATAACCTACAAAAAATTTGGATGTACATTATTAATAAACTGATATATATTTATATGTGTGTGTATACATATATATATATGTAATTGTATATTTTTAAAATATATTTAATTTTTTTAATACTGTATTAAAATATAAATTTTTTTTTTTTTTCTTTAAACAAATTTTTTCATATTCCTTATTCTGTAATATAATTTCACTTTTTTTTTTTTTTTTTTTTTTGAAATGCATTTAATTTTTCTACTTTTTCTATTTAACAATTGTGCATATGTTTTCATATTTGCATTTTTTAATATCTTTATTATTTTTTTTTTTTTTATTATTTTATTTATTTTCCTTTTTTTTATTACATTTTCTTCGTTTGTTCATAATTAAATGAAAGCATATATTAAAAAATTAAGAATAGCATTTTATAAATATTTCTACAAAAAGTCTTTGTATACATTTTAAAACTTTTTTGTAAAGTTTAAATTCTTAAAAAATTCTTTATTGAACTTGAATTGTATGAAATTATTGAACATAAAAATATATCATAATTTTTTCCTTTTATTTTTTTTTGGTATATCTTTTTATCCTTATTCTTCTTTATATATTTAGTAATATTATCATGTCTTATTAAAATGTTATAAAAAAAAAAAAAATAAGAGTTTTTTTTTTTTTCATTTTTAAATTATATTTTTAGTAATTGCATTTATATTATAGTGAACAAGAATCATTTTTTTTTTTTTTTTTTTACTATATTTAATTGTTTTTTTAGTCTTTTTAGTTTTCTTTTTTTCTTTTTTTCTTTTTTTCTTTTTTTTTTTTTTTTTTTT